ATAACCTTTCAGGAAAAGAAATACACATACATTTGTGTTTTATTGAAAGAGAAATATATGCATTATTAGGGTAAGGCGTGAAAGTGTTTGAGGAACAGAAATGGCTGTGAAAAAGGAATGTGCTTTGTGTGCTTTTGGACTTGAAAGCAAAGTAAACACCAGAGCAGAGGGAGTCTGGGAGGACTCAAAGCAGAAACACACGTAGGAGCTCCCACAGGGACTCATTCTTGTGAACCAGTGCTCGTTGGCGTCTGAGAGTTGTGGCTTCCTCACTGCAGTGGATCTCTGTAAGCTGTTGGTGAGATGACATGTTGGTGAGGGAGATGCCCACCGAGCTCTGTACCGGCCCTGTGTCCTGAGCATGAGTTCCTGGCGTAGCCCCAGAGAGCATTTCCTTTTTTTGCAGCTCAAAGGTTGTAGTTTCCTCCTGAGGATAGTATGTGACTGCTGACCGTGTACTTTCCACCCGGCATATTGGAGGCATTCTGCACTTCACCTAATATATACAGTGGTAGCAGAGCCATATGATGAGAGAGCGGCCAGGGATTGAGTGGCGGTGTGTGTGAGGGGCTCATCGCCGTTTCCAGTTCTTAATGGGAATCTTGTTTCTTTTGCAGGGGATATTTCCTGCAAATTACGTTCACTTGAAAAAGGCGATTGTCAGTAACAGAGGGTGAGTAGTGACCTTTCTAAATTGGTTCGCAATTTTTTTATAGTTGCTAAGGAAGACTTTAAAAATTTGGGGATTGATAGTGTAAAATATGCTATTAACATTATTTTCTGGTAAAAATACTTTTATGTATAGTTCTTAAAATAATGCTAACTTTAATCTGTTCTTATATGTACTAGAGAAATAACCTGAGTTGGTATGAATTTTTATGTTTTCTTCCTCCCTAAATGCGCCATTTTGAGAATAATCTGATAGGACAAGACAAAGATATCTATCATTTTGCTTCTACATATCAAACTAAGAAGCACTTGATAAATCTTTGTTTGACAAGTAGACATTAGAAAAAAGTCAAACTTTAATGATAAAATATAGTGTGTAAAGGGGATGGGCTGTATGCTCACAAATATGAAAAATATATAAGATCTTTGCATAGAAAGAGACAAAAGTCAATATATCACAATGTGAACACTATCTTTGTATGTTGATAATGTGAATGCTTTTTACGCTTTGTTTTTACCTGCTTTGAAAAATAATAAAAACATATTAAAGGTGATTTCATATAATTCATTAATTTAAAGCATAGTATATAATGTCTGTAATTTTCAAATGAGATAGCTTTTTTGTATCTGAAATGATGTTTTGCCTGGAGATGAGTAAGAATCAGCATAATCTTCTGATCCCTCAGGGTTTCGTCAACACAGAAACCACGTGGTCATTTTAAGAAATGGAATTTGACTTAAGGAATTGTTTACACATGTTTGAGGAGAAAAGAGGAAAGTCTGGTAGAACCCAGAGACAGTAAACAAAAAGCTGTTATCTTCTGACTGGGAGTGCAAGAGATCTGGATCTGGGACAGCAGAACCAAGGAACTGGGAGGATGGGTGTGAGACACTGGAGCTCGAATATCTGCAGAGAGGACAGCATGTGAGGGGTACCCCAAATACCGACGCTCACTTGTTGTTTTGATGTGAGGGGGCCAGTGCATTTGGAGTTCATTCCACCAGGTCAGACTGTTCATCAAGCTTTCTATTTAGAGGTTCTCAAAAGATTGCGTAACGGTGTGCAACAAAAAAGGCCTGATTTGTGGCAGCTGGGGGACTGGTTTTGCCACCATGACAATGCACCTGCTCACACAGCCATCTCAGTGTGCCAGTTTTTGGCAAAATCAGCATGCCTCTCTTGCCCCCCACACCTTACTCACCTGACCTCGCTCCATGTGACTTCTTTTTGTTTCCCTGAATGAAGAGGGACATGAAAGGACATCAATTTGATGACATAGACGAGTTGAAGAAAAAAAACAAGGGAGGTGCTGTCAGCCATCCAAAGAGATGAGTTTGGAAAATGTTTCCAAGAATAGAATCGCAGATCTGACAAATGTATTAAGTGCAGTGGAGAAGACTTTGAAGGTGATAAGTTTGTTTTGTAAAAACAAATTAAATACATAACTGGGGGGGGGGGTGTTTCCGGATTTTGGTGGGTACTCCTTGTATAGTTGCTGTTGGTACATATATAGGAAAAAACAGTGATGCTATTTCTAGGAATGCCAAAAAGTCAGAGACTGGAACGAGTTTCCATGAGTGGGAGATTGTTCATAGAAACAGCATGACCAGTGCGCCCTGTTAGCACAGCTATTAGTGAGACAGCCATGGCTGGCGCTGCCAAGCGGGGAGGCTGGAAGCGAGTCTGTTTTACTGTAAGCTTACAGGTGAGGAATCTGGGACTGGATTCCACAGCTGGACTCCTGGGTTGGGAGTTCCATGTTAAGTCTGCAATAGCTGTGGCTCCCAGATAGGCAGTCCGGGCCTGGAGCTCCATAATGCAGGCTTCCTGCCTGGAAGCCCCATGGTAAATCTGAGACAGCTGTTGTTGAAGGTGCTCAAGCTCCAAAGCTGGCACTCCTAGACAGGGAGTCTTATGATGGATCTGTGGCAGATTTTGCTCCCTGGAGAAAAAGTCCGGCTCAGGATCCCACAGCCAGTATGCCCAGGTGAAGGGCTTGGTGCTGGAGCAGCACAGCTGACGTGCTCATGTGGGGATTCTCCTGGCACTCTGCAAAGTCACTGCCCCCAGGTGAGAGGCTGGTGATGGTTGGTGAGAGCGGGCATCCCGCGCAGGGAGTCTGTTGCTGGAGTGTCACAGCAGCACCCGGGCAGAGCTTGGCCCTGGAACACACAGCCAGCACCTTTCTCAGGGAGCCTAGTACGAAATCGGAACAGCCAGCACCCGACAGTGAGGCCAATGGTGAAGCAGCCACAGCAGGTCAGCAAGATGGGGACTGGGTGCTCAAGGGCAGCTGCCAACCTTCAATAATTTTTAACAACAGCAATAAAGAAGAAGAGCAACTTCTAGGGAGAGGGAAAACACTAATTTCCATTTAATACCAAAACATCTTCAACAAAATGTAGAAGGGCATATGAAGAAACAAGATAAAAGTAAAATGGCAGAAACATTACTGAAGAAGGGCAGCTAGTGTACTGACTGGACAGAGACTTTAAAGCAGCAGCACTAAAGATACTCAGAGAGCTAAAGCGTCGGTTTGCACGTACTTAGCCTACCACCCCCTTTTCAAAAAAAAGAAAAATATTGATCACTTCCCCTGGCAATTAAAACGTCGTACTATAGACCATAATTCAGAATAAAGTCTAAGTACCTGCTTTCTCAGTGAACCCCCGTTGTTCCATTGCCCTCTGAGTGGGCATTAAGACTGAGCTGAAGGAAAACACAGACAAAGAAATCAAGAAAACGAGTGAAATAGTCCAAAGCAGCAGTTTTCAATGTGTGGGTCACGACCCCTTTGGGGGTTGAATGACCCTTTCACAGGGGTCACCTAATACATCCTCTATATCAGATTTTACATGAGGATACATAACAGTGATGAACAAAATTACAGTGATGAAGTAGCAACGAAATAATTTTATGGTTGGGGGTCACCACAACATGAGGAACTGTATTAAAGGGTCATGGCATAAGGAAGGTTGAGAACCACTGGTCTCAGAGAAGATAAGAATTTCAATAAAAGGATAGAAATTTTAAAATAACCAAACAGAAGTACAGAGCTGAAAATAAAATAACAGAACTTTTTTGAAAGTACTGGAGAGGCTCTATAGCAGATTCAAGTAGCCAAAGAAAAAAAATCAGTTGTGGCTCAATGAATTAATAATGGCACTTCTAACCATAGTCTTTGCATCTCTCACGGTAGGACTGAGTACTGATTTGCAATTGAAGTATTTGTGACCCACCAAGGGGGGTGGATAGCTTAATAGTAATATAAATGAGCTACGTGGCACTCTTGTGGGATGGGACTATGCAAATAAGGTGTATGGAACTCTAAGAAGAGGATTTGTCAATCCTGCTTTCCTGCTAGACTTGAAATGAGATGGGAGGCCAGGTGTGTTAGGCTGGTTGTCTAGAGGAACAAATCCAGGGGCACTCACACAACTTCACATCAAGAAGGGATCCCAGCCCAGCTCAGGTCCACAAGTCCGATGCAAGCCCAGGTTCTGTCCAAACTCACATAGCTGCACGCTGTTGGTGCAGAGAGGTGGTAGGGAATGCAGGAAGGTCGCAGGCGGGGTACAGAGGAGTTTCATGGATCCACTTAGTAGAAACACGGCAGGGCACCAACAGCTCTCAGGGTGGGTGGCAGAGTCCTAGGCAGCAGGAAGGCAAAGTCCCAGAGACAAGGAGATTCACAGGTTCACTGCTTATAAGAAGACACAAGGAAGTGTCTTCAGGCTAGACAGGTTGGATTCCACCCTTACTTTTCCATAAAAACCCAAGTTTACATCAAATCATCTAACAGATTTCATGACCACCAAGGAGAAAAGATGGTAGTGGACCACATCGTTTGGACCCTGGGCCCATGTGCTGAGAACCTGTTTGACTTAGGAGCAAGAAAGAGAAAGCTGAAATACTAGGGATGTGTTAGTCTGGTTTGACTAACTAAACAAATCCAGAGAGACACATATATGTATAAGAAAGAACTTTATATACAAGAGTAATTGAATATTGAAAAAAATCCCAGCCCAGTCCAGATCAACTCCATAAGTCTGGTATTAGCCCATATGTCCAATACCAATTTATAAATTCCTCTTCAGACTCACAAAACACATGCAATGACTTAATGCAGGACAATCACAGGCCAGTGGATTGAAAGTCTTGTGGATCCAGTGGCAGTGTAAGTATCTCAGCGCAGGCAGGGTCTCCATGTGGCTTCTCCAACGTGGCTTCTCTAACTCCGAGGCTCAGACTGCCATCAACCTGTCTCCATGTGGCTTGTCAACAAGAATGTCTCGCAGGAGCTGAGCGTGTGTCCTGCCTCCAGAAAGCTGTTCTTCCCCATAGCACCTCCAAATGAGTTCATCAAGCTGAGACCTGATTGACAGGTGAAACGTCACCCCTTCACTCTTAATCCTCTCACATTGACAACAGATTATGTAGCTGCCACAGGGATGACAAGAGATGTTGAGAAGCAGCAACATGGAAATTGCAGTTGCGGAACCAAGAGAGTGGCAGGAGAGAAGCAAAAAGCAGCATGGCGGGCTTCCCCATCCATGGAGCAGGAGAACTAACTGGGTGCCTCCAGGCAAGAGGCGTGCTGGAGAAGTAGGTCGTCTCTGGGCATTTGATGGAGTTAGGCTTGTCAAGTCACAGAGCTAGAGATTAGTGCTTTTGGCCAAGGCTTACTGGTGAGTGAGGTACCTTGGACATTTATTAGCAGAACTAAAAGAGCTAATTTTAATACCTACATAGCATGGCAGAAGCCAAGCCAAGGGGCTGAGAGTCAGAGAGAGATCTGCCTATAGGGCAAGTGAGACAAGGCTGCCCTGAATGAAGAACTGATGATTTCTGAACCTGAACTGTAACCTATGACTCTGATCATCCACCCGATATAGTTTTGTGACTAGAAGTAGAGAGAACCATGGGAGGGACAGTTGTCAGAATTAGGGAAAAAGTTGGAAGGCGGAGGTACATGTGACTTATGTCTCAAGGAATTAACTGGG